TGAATTCGCCACGATGACTCAACACGGTGACAGGGGATGAAACAGGATTAACGTCCCAATTGACATCAACCCCTTCATTATCCACCCAGCCCATGGAAGGTTGTACCGCATCATTGGGGTCCACGCCCCCTACTCTTTACCAACAGCAGTGTGGGTTCTTTTACGTCCCACAAGAATCAGAACAGTGAAAGAGCAGTGAGACGGGGCCTATGGTTTTTCGTCCTTATCCGAGGTTCTTGTATTTTGGGTTACCTATTTGCAAATTACGCTAAGTATGTCCTTAATTAGGTTCTTCATTTTATAAAGGAGATAATAAATTCTTGATTACCATAAAAATAGAAAAACTTGGGTTTGGTCCTTAAAAATAACGTATTTATTCACAATTGTATTATTATAACCCCAACAAAACTGGTTACCGTATTTATACAGTCTGGTTCACTTAGTTCTTGTTATACTTAAATTTACAATCTCAAATGTACATTCCTTAGTTAAATTGTTTATCATAATTTAACTGTAACCACAAGTTTCCGCCAGCAGGTTATTAAACCACTCGGTTTTTATCAGCGGGTGTTTACTGTAACTTGTTAAAGAGTTCATTAGTTCAATTAGTAGTGTTAATCTTGCCAATCGCGGAAAAAATGGTGGAGTCTTGTAAAGTGGCTCTAACGTTTGAGTCTGTGGATGAAATCCTACGGTGTTACCATTCGAATGAAACCTCTTCAGCAGTACTTTCACAGCGTAATATTTATGTCGTATGCAGTTCTAACTTTTTTAGTCTGTGGATGAAACCATATGGTGTTACCATTCAAGTGAAACCTCTTCAGCTGCACTTTCACATGGTACTATCTATTTAGTGAGTAGTTCTTAACTCTCGAGTCTTGTGATATGGTTCTAACTTTCGAGTCTGAAAATGAAATCCTATTATAAGACCATTTATATGAAATTTCTCAGAGCCCGATTCACACCAATGCTTAAACATGTTTAAAAGCTGTTTAGTTAAAGACGCTTGAAAATAGATTTCTTCATAAAAGCTGCTTACTGACTTGAGTTGATTGCAAATTTAGTGAAAATTACAAAACATGTTGAATTTCATTTGAATTCTGTGTAAAAACCTATGTTCCAGTTTTCCACGTGTTTTCCATTTTTAATACCTAGTTTAATTACACATGTTTAGTTAGTGTGAATGCGGCTTTAATCAGTATTCTCACCTGCAGACGAAACCCTATGGTGTGACCAGTCAAATGAAACCTGTTTTTCAGTATTTTAAAAGATGAAATTTGGAAAGTGTGTTGAATTTAGACTTCGGCGCAAGTATGTCAAATTATCACCAATATGTATGTGTAATAAAATGGTGAGGAGTGAAATTAGGGAATAATTTCACGCGCGTTTTGTCCAAATCCTTATAATTTCCCGAGCCTTTAGGGATTTGGACAAAAAGCAAGTGAAATTATTCCCTAATTTAACGAGTATACCATTTGATTACCTATTAATATCATGGTTGACGAATTACATTAGCAATCTTGGATTTTTGACATGTTTACCCTGGATAGTATCGATCGCGAACTCCTGCACTCTCTCGAACGTTTAGGGCTCAAATTTGGTTTACGTTCAGAGTTTTTTGACAAAGTACCTGTTAGAATCCTTCTTGATGTGCTTTTTCGTGTGTTCGGGTTTTCTGAAGCGTCTTTTTACGCCTTGGCATCTTCATTCATGACATTTTAAAACTTCGTCGCCATCTTGACACTGAGACGTACGGAAGGTTGCCATGGAAATTTTGTAATTTCACATGTGAAATTACAAATTATCACTGAAATTTCGCGCCAAAATTAAGGAGTAATTCGTCACCTATGATTATTACATTAGAAATTAATTCATATCACCTTTTATAAACCTTGTAACCTTTAATGGAACTGTCTGCATTTAGGGGAGGATCCCACTTCACTAAAATTCTCGAAGGCCCAAGAACCTTGGCAACAACATTGATTGGAGTCAGGTCTACAAAGACAGATCACAAAACAACTATGTTAAACGTGAACAGTCACAACTCGTTGAAACAATTTTCTACTGTCAAAGGAGACGAAGTAAGCATTTACCTCGGTGTAAGAACCTGGGAGCTTTTTCATTGCTTCGTAGCGTTTTTTTTTTCCTTAGGTTCTATTTTGTTGACTTCTCTGCTTTCTCTGTTCTACGTCACCTGTGAGTCTTACAGGTTCTTACACCGGGGACAAGCTATTTTCCCTGGGTGCAAACACAACCTCCAGTTAAAAATCTTGCGTAATAATAGCGGGGCTCCAGCGCGCATAGCCTAGCCCTATACTCAAGGAATATGGTCAACCTCTTTTCGCTTGGTTGTCACGTGATTGACCAGCGTACGTAGGTACGCTGTATTTTCTGTAGCTTTCTAAACGGAGCGGTAGGGGCCTTTTGACTTCAGGGGGTAAAATTTTTACTTCCGCCTTTCAAGGGTAAGTACAACTTTTCTGAGGTGCCAGTGAAAAATGAACAAAGTTAATTTCTTCTGGATCAAAAAATTCCTTAAAAAAAGGAAATATTTGTAGTAATTATAGACAACAAACCTTTGGCAACGTTGACCTGAACAATCTTTGTCACGTTGCTCAGATAATTTTCGGCTGTTATTGAAACGTTGTATCTGCAAAGAAACAGAACATTCAACTTTGGTCCAGTCTTATCAAAACAATGGTCTTTCCTTCCAATTTAATCTTTCTCCTGAGGGCCCATTCAGGGGAACATATTTCACGTCTTAGTGGTACAATGGCGGCAAAGAAAGATACCAAAAAGTGTGATCTCCGTACAGACTTGTTGTTTTGCTTATTGAGAGCCCCGTTTGCACGCGTCCGGACAATACTTTTAAGACGTTCTCCTTTCCGTGGTCGTCGTCATTGCTAACCAGACGTAGTTAATCGATAAAAATCGATATCGGAAATCAATCGATATTAATCGATTTAATCCGCTGATTAATACCGATTGATATTGGAAATCAATAGAAATCGAAGTCACAGAAAAATAGTTTATCGATTATTATCGATAAACAAAATCGATAACAATCGATAGTTATCTATAAAAACTCATTATCGATTTCTATCGGAAAATCATCGATATCAATCGAAGTCACAACTTTTTTTCTATATCGATTTCGATCGATTGATATCGGAAATCGATATTAATCATCGATTAGGATCGATGACTATAGATGGTTTTCACAGTGACGTCATCAAATTGTACATTCCCGTAGCATGTTTCATTTCGAAAATACTATATTTTGCGTGACACCAAAATAGGAATGCTGTCTTGTTGAAAAAAAGTCTCTCCTCTTGATTTTCAGCAGTATGTCCATTTCAAGTATTAGAAGATATGTTTATACGCAGGTATGCTAGTTCTCGAGTGAAAAGAAAGAGCTTTTATAGAAAAAGGGAACTCCAGATGTTTTTGTTGATGTCCAGCGGCCATATCCGTGCACCAAAACCTGGACACCAATGTGGCGTCTCCATACAAAGGTGTGTGAAACGTTTCGGCAAATAACTCAGAAACTGTGGCCCACAAAGACCTGAAACTTGGACAAATTGTTTATATATTAGTCTTCTATAACATTTCATTTTCTTGGCTTCTTCCACTTGACGGTTTCCAATTTATTTTCTTGTTGCGTAACAGTGAAAACGATCTATCGATTGATATCGATTATCGGCTTATCGATTAAGTATGTACGTCTGGTTGCTAAGGAGGAATAATTTGCAGCATACAAGATAGCCATCGCATTTCCCTATTGGAATTTTTGACTGTTTTCAACAAAAACGTCAATAAAAAATTCGAGCGGGCATGTGCAACGGCTATAAGCGGGGGCTGTGAATGGATGCATCATAAACACGGATCCGGGTATTTTGGATTACTACATTTTGCTACCCAGACTCGCGCGTACGGGTCCCTTTCTGGAGAGCGGAAAACAAATGCCGTTTCGTTTAGCGAACGCACTGATTCCGTGGACGGAAGGTCGAGTCGCGTTGAAAAAAAAAGGGTTCCCAAAATATCCGGATTCGTGACGTTGTATCCGTAGCCTAATGACAATAATACGATAATTTCTACAAAAGACCGCCTTCAAGAAAATGAAGAACAACACAAGATCAAAGAGCTGGAGAAGGATAAAATTAAAAGCAACACAAAACAAGGACGGCTGGGAAGCACAGTGATGATGCCGCAGACAGGGTCAAAGTTAAAGTATGGTAAAATGTCTCACGTCTTAGAAGATTTGAACTGAAGTGTAGCCACTGCCTGCCATTTCTCGAATTCTCCATCGTCATATTTCCATTTGTACTTCACATGGCCAACCTGCCCCTTTAAAAAGAAAATTCCAACCAAGTAAATCCCAACATAGTCCATAGTCTGCGAATACAGCCGTCCCTCCTCGCTCCTCAAAACGCAAGTGAAATTATCGCTTAATTTCACGAGCATGCCATTGGATAGCTTTAGATTCTAAGGCGAGTAGGACAACGAGTACGAGATTTTCTCAATACTGAGTGTTGCTCACGCGTGAACCAGACAGTCATTTTGGCGGGAAAACGTGGCAGCCGTCGTCACAACCGTCGTCACAACCGTCGTCACTCTACTACGAGTTTTAAAGAAAATGTCGTAGTGGCGGAATCGAGTTATAAAATGTTAGAAGTTTTATCATTTTGCGATCGGGAGAGGGTGTAGCCTCCTTCACTAAAGATAAGAGTAATAACTCGTCATGTGAAAAAGGTAAAATAAAGCTTTCCGGGGAGTCTATACTTTGAGAATACGCGAAAAAACTTCAAGTCAAATATCGTTCTCGTCCTTGAACCTAAAGGTCTCTATTAGATTACGTATTAACCCTATTAATATCATGGGTGACAAATTACGCTCACAATCTTGAGTTTTTGACATGTTTTACCGTTAATTAATGATACCCTACAGGTTACAACTTAGCCTGTGCACAGACGTTCCCCCTTCCTCAGAAAAAATCTGTAAACAGGCTAGTTACAACTTCACCAAAGAGCAAACTGGAAAAACTTTAAATCTTTATACCCCGGGTAAAGAAACGTTTTGGGCAATAAGGAAAACTGTTTCATGTAATAACGAGGTAACCGTATTACTAAGGTGGCCGTAAGGCGGGGTTTCACTGTATTCTTGAATTTGTCCACAGGAGTAAAGTAGAGGTATAGGAAATTATACGGTTCCGTTCTTAGTTTCTTCAACAACTATTTATCATTTGACGACATACTCAGATGACTGGTTCCGACTACATCGTACCTGCTTGACTAATTTCTGTGTACTGGTATGACTTTGAAGTTAGAAATCACAGTCCTGGGTTTTACTTACCGGTGAATACTTTAGACTTGCAGAAAAAATGACATCTTCATTAACACCAGGGTTCTTGGGTTGATAGGTGACAGACATTTGCTTCTCGTTAAGTTTGTCTGGAAAAATATATTTACATCATGTTCTCTACTTTGAAGTAAAGGGGGCGGGGGGGGGGGCCAAAATTGTAGTGGGAGAATTTGGAAAACCCGGGGATTAGAAAAATTGGGATTCTAAGGTAGTATGTTAGAGAAAACACAAACCGATTGACATATGGATATGATGAGTCGATAAGCCTTTGAGAAGCTGAAACTTTCGGGCAGTACTAACCTTGAACGTAGAGGTCAATTCTCTCCACGAGAGTGCTGAGAGTATTCGATGCAACAACTGACACTACATATTTCCCTGGTCTGGAAAACAAATTTTACTTGAACAAAACTTTTCCCATATANGAAAACCCGGGGATTAGAAAAATTGGGATTCTAAGGTAGTATGTTAGAGAAAACACAAACCGATTGACATATGGATATGATGAGTCGATAAGCCTTTGAGAAGCTGAAACTTTCGGGCAGTACTAACCTTGAACGTAGAGGTCAATTCTCTCCACGAGAGTGCTGAGAGTATTCGATGCAACAACTGACACTACATATTTCCCTGGTCTGGAAAACAAATTTTACTTGAACAAAACTTTTCCCATATAATCATTATGAATCATTTACTAAACAAGTCACAAATGGGAAATTTGTTGGACAAATTTTGGAGTCACCTGAAATCCATCAAAGAGGTCATTTCCGGGTTTAAAAAACCCTCAATTTCAAAAACAGGTCAAGTCAACAGCCATAATGGCTCTTCGTTAAGTGCAAAAACTCGCTTATGATAATGGCGTTTCATTTGATTTATTTCGTATACATTTGTCACATTAATAAAAAATCCCTTTCATATTATTTTGTTCGAACTTAGCCTCGCTGTGAATAAGAGGCTTAGCGCAACCTGAAAGTGGCCCATTCACACTTGTTTATCAGTAACTTTGTGAACTCCATTTCTAGTAGCACTGGAAGTACTACATCTTCCCTGGATTCATCTGTCTAGACATGCTGACAGACGAATACAGATGAATCTCCAGTTCCCTTCTCTCACCATTCGTTGTTTCTTTGTTTGTCTTTCGCATCTTTGTTTTCTCACTTTTTAATTCAACCATGCACATTGCTAGCCAACTATTCCGCTAAAATACTTCTTAATTTCTCTGATTTCTCTCGTTGAAATCCTGAAAAAGGCTACGAACACCGCCATTCTGTTTCTATTTTTCGCACCGATCCCTTCATAAAACCAAAGTTCTAACTACACAAATTGGTTGTCAAACAGACAATTCGTCTGCAGTTTAAATTAGGCTTACAACAACCGATATTTAAGGAAAATATCAAAAAACTTTGAAAATTTCTTGTTCTTACTTTTCATATTTATGTTGCACGTTTGTGTTATTGTTTGTAAGGCCAACATGACCATCTCCAAAGAACCACCTGAAAAAAAAAAAGCTTATGAACTGTTTTTCAACAAAACAAATAAGCAATTCTTTTTAAAACTACACTCAATCATTGAAAGAACCATTTGCCAACCGTTTTTGCGTCAGGTGTTCTACCAAACAAACAAGCAAAAAACTAAGCTCATTATTTTGAGAAAAATGAAAAGATAGTTATCCTTCTTTTATTATTTTAGCCGTAACAGTCACAATAGAGAGGCAACAGTCAAATGTTAACACGGAAACAAGTCCACACATTTGGCCCATCACTAGCATGCCTGAGTGACTACCCATAATTTTAGTGAGGACCATGCACTTTGTGAAATACCTACTGGAAATTAATATTTGGCATATATCCTCGTCCAACCGCAGCACTGAAGGAAGCTGTTTGCCCAGTAACGATAGCAGCTCTTCCAACTCCATTTGAATTTGAGCAGGTCAGGGTCAAATTCGCTAATTCTACAACAACAAAAAAACGGAACAGAAAAGCTATAATATTCAGAGAGCAAAACCTTGAACTGAACTAGCAGTTACTGCCCAAGTGAGACATGTTCACTTGAGAAAACCTTGATGCCCAAGTCGTGCGGGGATCTTTCAAGTCATAGCCTAATAGGCGAAAGTTTGAGTCAAACAGCAAATTCCACTGAAAACCATGCAAACGCGCTCTAAAATAATAGAGAATTACAATCACGTTTACGGCAAATGACAAACGACAATTTGGCCTATGTGACCAAGCTCTCCCATTACCTATCATTTACTGTTCATTACCCCTATTAAATAAAAATAAATAGCATCATGTCAGGTTAATCCATAAGAACCATTTTACATTTGTAATTTTTATCTGATTATTTCCTAACTTGAGAAATTATTAACTTGATTCTCACTTAATTCTAAGGGTCTGTGATCCGAGATTGGATCGTTTTACATCAAATGAACCAATGAATTCTTTCCAAGCGTGGGTTCATCGGTTCCGTTGATGTGTTGTGATCCATGTGATCTGACATCACTAGCCCTGGTCCGGATCATCCAAATGGAACGCACTCAAGACCTCTCTTATGTTTTTTGCCAAAAACATTTGACACAGGAATGAAGCCACAAATGCCAAGTAAAAGGACAATAATGGGGGAGAGAGAAAACGGAAAGTAAAAGTCCATGAGGGAATGTCACATTTTTGTCCAAAAACCACAATGAAACTTTGCTTTTTGTGCATTCTTGTAAACAGCACTTTGGGCAGTCTGGATTTTTTTTGCCAGATGGTGACTGGAGAAGGGCATGAAATTGCTGGGGCGAATGGGTTAATTATTGCTTAGACAAGCTCTGAACAAAAATGATTCATGCATGACGCAACAGCCTTGGAGCATATAATCTCTACTTTTTCTTTTCATTGATGTTGGCTTATTTCTAGTCTTTTTTCTTGTTTCAGACTAATGGAAGATGGAAAGTGGGAAATATCAAAATATCCATGCGTGAGGAACACAATAAAGCATAATATAGTTCTTGTTATGGCCACTTTTGTTTTATAACGAGAGCTATCCTAATGTCTATAGAGCATTTTCACTCAAGTGGCCGGTGGCCAGTAGCTATGCAATTTTATTGGGACACGTTTACATATAAACAGAAAACAAAGCAAACAGGGACGCTAACATGGCCGCAGCATTATTACTATGAGGGGAATGGGTACAAGTTTTCGGTGCAACGATTCCTGAGATAGTTTGCCGGAGTGGAGTGGTGAATTGTGGGGAATTGTGTTGGGACTTCAAAATGGTGGACATGACGTCATGTGGAAAGGCTGTTTAGGAGAGGTCAAAATTTCATTGTTACCTTTGACAGGGCAAGGAGTTAACACTGGCATGAAGTCTTCCTCGGTTCCATTCTCACAAGTATTTCCTGGAATCTTACGGAACCTGGTGCGTAAAGATGATAAAGTACCGCAAAAAATAGTCAAACAGATGTTTGAATACTTTTACAGAAAAAGCAGCAAAGTGGAGATCAAAACAACTTTCATAAATGGAATCTCTTTAAATTTACAAGCGCTAGTTCCAAGATCCGATCAGTTACGTTGCCACAGAGTTTCAAATTTACATAATGTTAGCAGATTTCTCTACTGGTTAATCCAATGAAGGTACCAATGAAGAACAGCTCCTTAACCCTTTAAGCCCTAAGAGTGATCAGCATCAAATTTCTCCTTGTAATATCGACGCTTTGCAAAACAGAGTGGTGATGAGAATTACGGACGTGATCACACAAGATGAATTTGCTTGATATTTTATCAACTTCTCCCTACTACTTCTGTAGGAAATGAATAGGAGCAACAAATAAGAATTCAAATTTTGATCTTGGGGTTTAAAGCGTTAAAACAACTTCCAGCCAACAGTTAAACAAAAGCGAAAATATAAAGATGGTCGAAGTAAGTGTGTATTTATTTTTTTCACCATCACAGTCACCTTTATTGAAGGAGGTTAAGCCCTCACCTGATCGCAAAAGGATTAATTAAAGTTTTAACATTGATATCTTGTTTCCCCCACAAAGAAATTATCACTAAAACCTGCAGTAGAATGACGACGCCTATCCAGTATCGCTTTTTCCCACCAAATATGACCTTGGTTCACACACATGCACTACTTAGTATTGACAGAATCTCGTACTCAAATTCATCCGCGTCTTAAGTTAGAATCTAAAGGTCTCTAAAGGCTGAGTGGGAAGATGTGAGGTCCCAGTTAGGGTAAATAAATGGCCTGTAAACAGTGACATGAGACAGTTGAAATGGTGATTAGCGACAACAAGGTAGAATGACATTGTACTGGAAACAAAAACTTTACTAAGTGTGAATACAATAGTAAATTACCAACAGAGACATGCTTTTCTCCTTAACAAAATAACGCAAAACAAAGGCGTATAAAATTCAGGCTTGGGATTCATGTATCCCCACTAAAGAGGCTTTGTGTGTTTTATTTTAACAGCAGCCATAATCGGGCTAGGAGACCATAGCTGGATATCTTCTCCAGTTATGGGATTGGCTCAAACGAATAGTCAAACGTGCTATTTTTAGTACAAATTGCGCCATCTCAACAGACCTTTTTACTGATATGGCGGCCATATTGAATTAATTCGATTTAAGGAGTATTATAGGATGCCCAAGGGGCATGAGCTCATTTCGTTTGTATTTTTGAGCGCTTTTCGTGACATTTTTTCTTTAAGTTTTCTGAAATAAGATTCTAATAGGAAAAAAGATCCTTGTGCCGTGTTGAGGATGTAATGATGATCGCCTTTTTCCCGAGAAATATACAGTGAAAGACCATATATCTTATACTAAACTAGGAAAAGGAGATCATTATTACACCCAAACACGGCACAAGGATCTTTTTTCCCATTAAAATTTTATTCTAAGAAAACTTTAAGAAAAAATGTCCCGAAAAGCGCTAGAAAATAAAAACGAAATGTGCTCATGCCCCCTGGGCATCCTATAATACTCCTTAAATCGAATTAATTCAATATGGCCGCCGTATCGGTAAAAAGGTCTATTATGACTTCACTCTGTAAACACTTTCTACACAAGCATCGGCTAAAGAGCAGGCTATAGAACGTTAATTTCCAAATAAAAGGAACAAGTGAGTATCGTTTACCAGAAATTATCACTGAAAAAACATTGAGCACTCCACTCTGTAATACAAAATTGATAAAAACTGAATATTCAATCGATCATACCCTCGAGTCTTGTTGTAGAAGGAGTCTTCAGGGCAGTCCTGTGGAATAGTGTTGTGGTTCAAGTCATCACCCAGCCTGATTGGAGTACACTCCTCATCTACTCTTTTTCTTTGAAAGCCATAATCACTAAAGAAAATACACGTAATAATAAAAAAAAGGTGACACTACATGCATAAAAATCAAAGGGGTGGTTGAACATGAAACCTATTTAGCAAAGCTGATTTGAAGCTGGCACATGACAGTTTGTCGTGTTGATAAAAACACAACCACATATGATGTTGTTTGGCTAATGCTGAAAAGATCATGCAGGAAGGGATGGAAAGCTTCAGTAAAGGCGTCTGTGTCAGGCGTTGCTTTTCTTCCACTGGGGCAAATAACATACTATAGCCCTGACATAACCAAATTGAATGACATCACTTTAACAACTATTATCTGCAGAAATAATGTCACGTCTTTGGGCGCTTCCCATTTGTCAGAAATGGCTGGCCGGACCAGTCAGTTTACAAATGAAAATGGCTTTTTCGAAAGGGTTTTTGCTGAAAAACCATCTCCATTTAGGATTTGACTGATCTTGCTGGATAGTTTTGATTAAAAGTGAAATTCTCATTACGACAGGAATGGTCTGGCTGGTCAGTTCTGACAAATGGAAGGCGCCCTTTTCCTGTGAGCAAGCTTTCCAGGGTGCTCCGGTAGTGGGACAAAAAGAAAGGAGAGCTTACAGTCATATCTCAGGAATTTGAATCTCTAAATTGGAAAAGTCAATGCAAAATGCTGATTGGCACAGATGAATTTGGTAATGACTTCAGTAATGTTCCTTTTTCTCGCCCTGCCAGAGCACCCCAGGGTTGATTCATTGTGGTCTGATCCAGATATTGATTCCTGCTTTTTAAAAGCTCGTATTTACCATTGAAAATCATCCCTTGTACATTCACAATTCTTTACTTTTATGGGCCTTTTGTAGTCTCGTGTCATGTGACAATGTATGGTCCAATTCTTTGTCTCAAACTGCTGCTGACAACCCAAGAGGCACCCATCGGTCCACTGGGTGTAGGCAGTAGAATCACATTCTGGACCTGAAAATTGCAACATCATTAATCGAGATGCCAGCTAGAGAGGAAATCATGCAAGTTACATACAGTGGAAGCTCGATATGATGAATCTCTATATAACGAAGTCCTTGGTATAACAAAGACATATAGTACAATATCAATTATATGAAAAAGAACCTCGCCATAACGAAACCTCTTTATAGCAAACAAATTATACCAGTCCCTTGGGCCTTCACTATACTTAGGTTTCACTGTACCACAGGAATTAGACAACTGGGCAACTGGGCAACTGGGTAACACTAAGCCAACAAACAGAAAGTGGGGTTGTCAACAAAAAAAATCAAGTAGAAGGAGAATGTTAGAAAGTAGACAATACAATGGTGACATGTACTACCGTAGAATTCCGACAACTTTTTCATTTTTTTTTCTTTTTAACAGCAAAATTTAGCTGCAAAACTTTGCAGGTAGCTGACCATATTGCCAGTAGCTGGCACTTTCTGGTTACCCTTAGAATGGCCAATAACCCGTAAATGAATGGATGCATTCTTTGAAACTATCATTTAGACTGCCACTAACCAACACTTCTGTAAAGTAAGCAAAAATTGTTGAAAAACAAGAAATGGAAGATTTGGAAAGCTTTTCCAACTGTTTGTTGTGTCACAGTGTTGCTTATGTTTTCAACTTCTTGGCCAATAATCATCATCACACATTTAGATAAAGAATAAATAAGCCTACCTAATACTGCTGTCATGTTAATATAGAACACTTTCCAGGGTCTCCCTTGACCATAGGTTCCATAAATAAGAAAAATGGGCAGCCTTTCACCAGGCTGAGTGACAACATCTTGGGCAAGGATTAAGGAATCACTGAAGACAAACAGTTTCCATGTTGCTCCTCCATCTATGGTGTATCTGTTATAATAACAAAAAAATACTTACTGCTTCTATTTTGCAAGGCATGCATGCATGGAGAAGAAAAATGATGACATCACAAAAAAACATAGGCACGTTTTACGTGCATGAGCTATTTTCAATGCTTCAGTGTAACTGTAATTGGCAATCTACTCTTTTCATCCTAGATTAAAAGAGATGTTTTGTGCAAAATTGGGTATAGCTGCACATTAATGAAAATGAGAAAAGCTGTGCATAGCTGGGTCGATCCTCATAATATAGATTCACTTTTCTGTTTTTCCTTCAGACATCTGGTGTAAAATAAACAAATTGTTAAAGCACAATGAATATCGACTCACAAAACGTTGCTTTAATAGAGGGAAGACTCGAAGGTTTCAAGGTTTCTTGATGGTTTCTAAAATAATGAAGCTCGTCGAATACCAAACAGCTAAGAAATGCCACGATTTTCATCATTGTTGTAGATGGTTTGAGCCTTTGCTTAGGCACTAGTTGCAAAGAAAGTCGTGTCTGATAGCCCGCGCCTGGTGGATTTTGCTATCGGGTTAGTCAATTCTGTTCTTAACTTGCCTGACGGGCAAGTGAAGTATTTTGTGGAATTCAAATTACGGAAGAACTGCTACCAATCCTGCCCATCAATGTTTTTTGGGAGCGAGTTAAAATGACTCTTGGGCTAGTACATTCTAACTACTGCTTGCCCGAATCCAGCAAGCTGTTAAATTGACTTTGAAAGCCATTAGATCATTATACTTGGCCGAAATAAACTCCACCAATTTCGTCTGTACACAGATGTTGCAATTTATATAAAGAAGTCTCTGAGAAGCGGGGGGCAGAACAGGGATATCTGCGCTGCTCAGCAGACGTTACTAACCTGGGTTAAATTAAGTCTGCAATGCAGGCTACAGTCCACTAAGTACCCTAGTATCAGTGAAGTGTCAGATTGTCGAACTACTCGTCCAATATGTTGGTCAATATGCCAACCAACATGTGACCGATAAATTGGTCGATCGACATATCTCGGTCGAGATGTCGACCTATATATCGACCCAGGGGTGCACAAATTACACAGGATCAGACTGAACTTGGACAGCTGTTTTCCACTACCTGTAGCATGGGTACAAAATTGCCATATTACTCTGCCTCCCTCCACTGTCCCCCCATAAAAGTAAAAGTACATAGAAGTATGACATTCACCTTACAATTTGCTCCAAGAAGAAGAAAAATATTGCATCATAAACAGCTTGCAGCTCTGAACAAATTTACTCTTAGAAGAAATGACCACCCTTTGGTATCAAAACTTCAATGGAGGCCTTTGAATTTTGAAAGTGAAGGTCTATGCTAAGTCATGGTTTCTTCACTGAGAAACCACAGTGTGAAAGGGTATATTTCCAAAAAAATTATTATTACTATTTTTTTTAAATATTTATGTTTTGGTATTTATAGAAAGATAAACATTGGAAGTCGATACAAGTGGTGGTGCCAATATAGTGGCGGGGTTTCCATGGTTACCTCCCTGTTCATTAGTTTGTCCAAATAACGCATTTTTGTTTGACTATCATGAAAATTCTTAAGTATCAATACAGTGGAACCTCTCGTTTAGGACACCCAGCATGCAAAGAAAGTAGTGTCCGATAGCCCAGGGCTAGAGGATTTTGCTATTGGACTAGTGACATCTGTTTTTAACTTGCACGATGGGCAAGCGATATTTTCTTAGGAATTTGAATAACAGAGGAACTGGAATCAATCCTGCTCATCAAATTTTTTTCGGGCTAGTACATGCTAGCTACAGCTTGCCCGAATGGCAAGCTGTAAAACTGACTTTCTTTGCACCCTGGTCACACCTCTGTTCAAGGGACACCTCCGCCTTCTGGAAAAATGTTCAAGTAATCTTTGTACTTGTCACCTCTATTGAAGGTACACACACCTCTATGCAGGGGAAAGGGACACTTTTTTCCGAGTCCCAAAACCTGGGTTTAGCCTCCATTCAGAAGACACCTTACCAATCAAAAAGTGACTGACCACAAAAATCGTTGATACAATTTTCACTAGTCACAGTGGTGACAGCTTTCAAAACATCAATTAACTAACTTAAATTGACACACTGCACTTGTCGGAATTCAACAAACAACATCGCAGAACTTTTTTTTTATACATTATCTAACTGCTTTAAATAATGACTGCAGCAGATTCTGTAGCCAGCAAGAGCAGATGGCTTTTTTGGCTTTATTGAAAATACTTCATTTCTTGATTAATTATTACCAAACCTCAGCCCATCCTCCACTCATGGGGCACTTGTCCACTAGTCTTGTCCACTTGTCTTGGCAAAATTCACGTTTCTGCTTCTAGCAATCTGAACTTCCGTTTTGTTTCCTTTCGATTTTTCTTTTTTTCAGTAGCTTTAGTTATCAATTCTTTTTTTTAACAATTTTTTTTTAATAAACAAGGGATCCACTGTAATTGGTTAGGCTGTAGTGGTCTCCCTACCTAATAATTTCTATGTTTTCATAAAGATTGTATTCTAGTTAGGCGAAGCTAACTAAATTAATAAATTATAAATTACTTTCCTTGGTCACCCCCTGAATAGAGGTTCCACTGTAGATCAACACATTAACAATGCAAATTTCAACGGCAGGAGTCCAGATAATATCTAGCTCTTACCTTAATGTCCTTGTGTAACGTCTATAAGGCACAGCAACTACTACTCCACCATGATCACCAAAAGTAAACCGATACTTCCCTCTGAGGACCTGTGAAAATGCCAAAAAGGTTGCTCCTGTAACCCTTTCATTTCCAGAGTGAAAGACGAAGGATTATTTGTGAGGATATCATTAAGGGCGGAGGGACTAGGGATTTGCCCTGGCTACTATTAGCATGGGCCCCAGCAGGGGCGTAGCTAGGGGGGGGGGGGGTCCTGGAGTGCCCGTGACCCCCCCTTGGTAGGCCTTCTTTTGAGCAAACAACCTACAATATTCAGGTAGCGAAAACGCCATGACAATATCTTGGCCGTAAAAGCCATTGTTGAAAAGCCCACTTTTTTAAATTTTTTTTTTTTGTGAAGTATTTTCGTCAACGGCTCTTGTCTTTAGTTAATATGGGCGTGGAGGTCGAGATTACAATCTGGTGAGTAGCCTCTGTGACCCCCCCTTTGAAAAATCCTGGCTACGCCCCTGTCCAGCTACTTTCACAGGAAACAAAAGGAAGATAGACACAAAAGAACTTCCTAGCTGTTCAATTCTTTGCCTACTAATTGCCTGTAACCAGTAACTTGGTATCTTACAGCAACGGCCTTGATTGTAAGGTGGTTCTAACTTTTGAACCTGTGGACAAAACTCTGCTGGCAATTGACCATTCAATGAAAATTCTTTGCCAATACTTTCACATTATAGAAATATTTGTTTTCAAAATTTAACAAAATGAAAATATGGCTATATTTCTCCAGTCCCTGCCAAAACCTATGCAAGTTAACACTCACCCGACTCCATCCTAGACCACCATCCAAAGACATAAAGACATCAGGATATATCTTAAGATTGGTGCTTGCCACGCCTGAAAAGGAGAATAGAATTCATTGCATTATGAAGAGGGAAAGGGACATAGTAGATGGAGATGAAATCAGATAAAGCCAGTGCCATTGATAACTCACCTAAGGCAAGTACCAGTCCTGGAGCAGACTCACTGGAAAACAGTCGCTCGGATGGAGAAACACGATACACAGCACCATACAGAAGATTTAAATGAATGGAGCAGCTTGGCTGCAGAGAAAAAAACCGGTTTTTTGTCACACAATTGCAAACATCAGATGAATGTAATTCAAGTAGAATGTATTGTTACCATAAGAATACAACATCTCATAACAGATGCATGCATTTCAGAGCTTCAAATAGAGGAGATAAGAAAGGTGATAATGAAAGCATTTAGGAGCTAAAGACTAATGACACAAACATTACAAGTCACCTAGAAATGTACTAAAAATCCCTATGAACAATTTCTGAACCACTTAGCACCAAAATACGAGTATGCAGTGTAAAATTAAAATAGTTGAACAGAGGGATTAAGCTTCCACCATTAGGGAAAGCTACTCTTATCTCGTCTGAATTTTTAGGGTGTCTTTTCTTTACTCTATTGACAATTAATACAAGTCAAAACAGTACAGAAATTTTTTGGGAAACTAATAAAGCAGGAAAATGTTCAGTTGTTATGAACCGAGACATGGCACCCACCAAATAACAGTTAATTCTAACTCCACGGTTGTCTACTGTTGGTGAGCGAACCCGCTGCCATTTTTCTCCCCTGTTATAGGTGATCAACGTCAAAAGATGTCTCTTTCCCACAGGTCCAGGAGTTAACTGAGTAGCAACGTAAATACCACGCATTCCTTTTATTTTATCCACATCCACAAATGCATAGGGTATTACCGTTCTGCCAACAATAAAAAAACAGATCAGAATTTTCATGGAACTCTGCAAATAAGACCTAAAGGTTGGGCCATAAAATATTTGGTCATATCAGTAAAGTTATTCCATCAGTGGATGTAAATTTCTTTATGATTAAAAAACATTTCTTAACTACAGGGTGACAAGTACCAGTAATCAATTCACTGGATATCATACATACATGTACTATGAAACTGTTAGAGTGGTTGGGTGGTTAGAGCACTAGACTTGCAATCAGGTAGTCCCGAGTTCAAGTCCCGCCCTGCAGATCAAGGGGTGGCAAATGGTACCTCGAAAAACGTGGGTCTCAGAAAATTTTGGCAGGATCTCGAAATCTCAGAAGCGCTTTTGTTAAGTCTTAAAGTCTCGTTTTTTATGGTTTGTTCTTACTTTTTTTGAGTCTTGAAACGTTTCACCAAAGAGTCTCGGGCTCGGATTTCTAACTAGGATCTCGGCGTCTCGGCGAGTCTCGGATTTTACCATTCGCCACCCCTAGATCACTGACTGGATTTGTTCACGGTAGCCCTGAGTTCAACTCCTTGTCGTGCCTTTAAATAGCTAACTGGTCGGCTTCATTCAGCAAGATTAACTCTGTTTCATTACCTCAGAAAAGCCTCTTGAAGGGAGAGGATAGTTATACAAAACTACATTGTTTTTAATACAAGAATACTGTAACTATGCACTCTGTATGATTTTCCATCTAAAGTGTTAATATTTCAGAAAATGCTCTTCTAACTTGCCTTCCAGACTAACTAAATAGAAATCCTACAAAGGAATGTCACATTATTGTAAACTTCTCTTGCAATAATTGCAATATTATTATTGTTAGCAACTGCTAACAATAATAATATTGCAATAATTGCAATATTATTATTGTTAGCAACTGTTATGATTGGCTGAAATCTTTACCACAAAATAACCTGTTATGCAAAGTGGTTAATTGAAAATACATTTCCTTTTGTAAACTTCCTTCTTTCTACAGGTTGGTGCATTTTCACGGTAAAAAAAAGTCAAAGTTCTGGTGCGTGAGCAAATGACACTGCTACATAAAATAAAAAGAACTTAATGCTACGCTTAATTCACACATAAAGTTGTGATTTATCACCTGAGCCATGGAGATGACACATCTGTGTAAGGGTTATGATACAATACCCTTGGCAGGGAAAGTTGATACTTTAAACCCATTGTATCAGAAATGTACAAACTGGAGAGATTCTTCAGGTGATTTATCACGATGAAGACATAATCATCAACCACATCAAAGACAAAAAAATCCTGTGAAAAGATCAAGGAGAAAAAAAGGTCACATTGAAGGGAAATGTGAACTGTAATGAGTGTATTCAAATTAACATTAATGTTTACCCAATAGCCCATTTTACAGTTATGGATGGAATTGAGGCTGGAGCTGATATAAACTGCCTGCTTTATTATGTAAATTGACATGTTTTTCTTATTGCAGGCTCCTTCGTTGCCCGCCACCTAATCTAGGTCAGCAGCACTCTAACTTTTTCGCAATTCTCTCCACATTCTTGGATGCATGCATGGTATGTAGCCGCAAAGGCCCTGGTGTTGAGTTTTAGGTCTATCTGATGTCAGGTTAATCACGTGAATGCACCTACACGGTAAGTAAGATACAGTAAGATACATGAAGTGCTAGCAAAGTCTAGAAATTGATGTCAATTCAGTTTATTCACGTTTCACTACAGTGCAAAAGGTGCATGGTGTTTATATTTTTATACATTTCCAAGCATGTTACATTACTTGTCATCCGAAAGCTTCAATAAGCTTTAAACCCCAGTGGTAATTTTTCTATTTCAGCCGGGTTGTATATAAGAGCTGGCAGTCAAGATATGTCGAGGAGATGAGGTTGTATCAGGTCTAAACTTAGACTCAATAAAAGTATAAATCTGCATTACCTATATTTTCTGAAAACATATAAAAGACTTCTGACTCAAGAACAGTGAAAACATTTTAAAATGTTATGCTTGAGACTGTCTTTTTGAAAAAGTCTCCCTGCGATGGCAAGAAAGTACGAATATAATTTGTTTGTTAGTTTTCCGCCATATTGGATTTCTAGATATGAGTGCATAATAAATATTAGTGCGAGCAGGAAACTGGGAAAAAGGAATTTTCGTATGCGACTACGCGGGTAACATAGGATTATGTAAGATGCAACCAAATGTAACCTGATTTATGCCTGTTAACAAGTTCTCAGACAGCTATGTGGCTAAATGTTTTCTTTTTATTTATTTAAGGTTTCATCTAAGTAAACTAAAAAAGTTTTTTCAAACAATGAAGGGTTTTCTAACCTTAAGTACCTAGCTTTTGATCACCTCAACGATAATCATTGAGGTTATCGGGTTACCAGAGTGTGACAGAAACACCTGAGTCCAAAGTATCCATGAGGTTAATTTCAAAAATAAATAAAGTTGCTCTGTCCCCGAAAGAAGTCACGTTTTTCTTGATGTCTTCTTAAGTTCTGGGAGAAACTACACCTTTGGACTGTTAGGCTACTTCCAATTACTGAGCAGAGTTTATCCCTGTTAGCTGGTCCGGTCCTTCAAGTATTTGCCTACCCAAATATCATTCCTCTATTTGTTTATACGTCTATTATTGAAATGTTGCTTTGTCTTTCTTTGAGTAACATGATTTTCACAGTATAATTGCAGCTTAATTCATCCCTCTAATGTCAGAGTTTCAAGGCCCAAAAATGCCAGGAAATGTGTTTTCCAGCGTTTTACTTTCAAAAATTTTCTGGGGATGCATGCCCCCGGACCCCCCTAGAAACGATGAAAGCCCATTGGATGGGTCCTCCAGACCTACAACTGCCTAATTTTCCAAAACCTTTGGCTACTTAAAGCCTTAAAGAAAACCCTGCTATTTCATATCAACGGCCTTTGGTCATTGAACACGGATTGAATATTCGATTGAATGATAGGACTTTGTGCATGACTGCATACACACATTACTTGTGTCACACATTTACTGTTTCAATGTATCTTTGCTGGCGAACACAAACCACTGTCTTAACTGACCTGTCTTAACTGTAGGCAACTGGTTCCAAGCTAGTCTTTGGTCAATGTAGTTTATGCTTAAGCTGGTAAATTCTTATTTACAAACCATTGCAAACCCATTGCCAATCTAAGGGAATCTTGAATCCAAATTGCAATGTTCAATATTAGACATGTTTTTCTAATGGGAAATTACACATGTTGACAAGCTGTATTTAGCCTTCTTAAACTACTACATGAGAAATTTCTGCAATTTGATTGGCTCAGAGCAGTGGTATTTCAGCTTAATTTGAAATACCTACATGTTAAAATTACAAAACTTTGGCAGGTAGTAGTATAAACAAATAATAGTAAGATTTGTATGTGATATTTGGCAAAAATACCACTCATGATATTTTAAAATTGTCACAAATTTCACTCGCCTAACGGCTCATGAAATTACATATAACAATTTTGAAATACAACTGGTGGTACTTATGCCAAATATCACTACTTATCATACTAATACCTATACTAGAGCGGTTTTCATTTGAGTGTCGAAAAGTAATTGGTTTTGCATTTTCTACACGATGCGATTGGCTTAAAAGATTCGCGCCACCTTTTCATCCAATCAGAAGTAAAACCAAAGCCAATTGTGACGCGCTCATTGCGTCAGCCACATGTAATTACTTCGAGTTTTGATTGGTTCAATGTATTGTCTGTGTCCTATGTGATTGGCCAGAGTAATTACTTTGGTTTTGGTTTTACGACACTCAAACGAAAACCACTCTAATAAAGCTAGAAACTGTGTTTATGAGACACTGTCTACATTTTAAAATTCTCTTACCCTGCTTTCTTCATTCACTGGAAACTGTGCTGTTTTGAAGAGGATCTCCTCACCATTGGTTATTTTAGCAACCTTCAGAATTGGGTTTTTATCTGACGGTTTCTGTGGAAGAAAAATCTAGTTAGCTTTCTGCCGTAATGTTGCAAAGTATTAACTAAGTTATCATACATTGTAAAACTATACACATTACTATCACTGGAATGTGAATATCAAGACCCTTTCACATCAAGCCTTTTGACTTGACACACTTTGATAACATCTGCTTCTCAGGATACTAATGATAACATCATAATCACTGACCTTGCGTGTGGTAATGAACATGTAGTTTTTCATTACTTCAAATTCCTCTACACTGGCAATTAAGGTCATTGTGGGATCTCCATCAACTAGCTTGTAAATTGTTGTTTTGTTATTTTTTGTTGAATCTAGGAAAAATCAATGTCATTTAGCTGGATGCAAACTAGTTGATATAATAGAGTCGATCCTCCCGTAAGCAGTCAATGAATATGTCAAGGTTTGGTGGTGTCTTACATGTACAAGAGTTGGACCATGTGGGTTCTCTGTCGGGATACATACAGTGTGCAATAAGCCATTTCAAAGTTTCCTTGGGCCTCTATTTCAAAACAAAGCAAAGTGAAGCCTTCAACTGATTGAAAAGGGAGCCCATACCATGGAGCGAGCAATTTTTGTAGACTGACCAGTTTATTTGTAGAACGATTTTGGCACAAATTTAGAATATCATGAGGTTCAATAAATATTTATTTGACACAGTTAACAACAAGGAGCACGGGCTTGGTAAGCAGTCAGTCGTTTGGCTCAAGCGTGGTCAGCCTTGCTTGCATCACCTCCATGTGCTCAGTACAGCGTTTTCGTGGCAGCCATTCTCTTCCTTTAGCCTTTGGATCATTCTTTTATCCCCATCTCTCCCCCCTTAATTCTTCCACCGTTAAATCAGGGTGATGGGTGCCTGGTTCCATTGGCATGGGGGCTCATGGCTGGAGGGTGCGGGTTTGCCCGCCATGGGGGCGTAACTCTGTCTAGGGGCTGGCTGTGCCAAAGGTGGAAGCTCCTGGACATCCCGGGCACCCACCTCCACTCAACGACGCAGTTGTTAATTTCAAGTTCCACAAACCAGTCAGTAAAACTAAAACCCCGTGACAATGGCATTTTGACCCTTTCATGACGTTGAGTTTTCCCCAGTCACATCTTATTTTATAATGAGGTAATGAATGGAGCAGAGCTTCCATTTTCGCAGGAAAAAGTGCCCTAAAATGTATCTAAAAATATACCGGTCCATGAAAACACTAGGACATAACCCTAGTATGGGATTTGCTTACTCCAGGTTATGGGCTCCTGACTGAAATGACTTTTATTCTCCGACCTACAAATCAAACTCATTTTCAAGAGAAAGGTTTTGCACTTGACCTCCCTTTGAAGGCAAGGGTTTCTGAAATTTGGAAATGGCTTACTTTAAGCAGTGTCACCTAAACTATGACATGCCAAAAAATACAACCAACTGTAGATATCAGATATACAAATTTTAAAAATGGAAGAAAAAGCAAAACTTGTCATCTTATGATTGGTTGTCCGGAGTTGCACTTAATCAAATTGGCACCAAAATCAGACCAAGTGTTAAGTGGACTGTTACAGGAGATTTAAAGTGGCTTGACTGGATTTTTCAGAGGATACCATCTAAGTTTGAGCATTTACTACATTAGGAATTAAATATATCAGAAACATTTTACCACAGGTGTTTTATAAAAAAGATGAAAATTTGTTTTACTCTATGTTTCTTTGACATCGGAGTTACCATGGCACATAGTGATCATGTCATTACGTTTTTTACTTCCCTTTGCACTTGTCATTACCAGGAGTATTTCTGACATACTAATTAAATGTGGCTAAATATCATTTAGGCAAAGTTAAACTCAAGCGAGTTGGCCAGCAGTCTTCTCCCACTTCAGTATGTGACCTACGGGGCGGCCCGCGGGGAATTGCAGGGCTCCTTGTGTGCCCTTTTACTAGTGTTGCTTTGCATTGTAGCTTTGCTTGCTGATCGTAGCGGATCATTTTTAGCCTTCTTGCGAATCATTACAGATTCTTGCTGATCATAGCGGATCAATGTTTGCCTTCTGGCAAATCATTGCGGATTCTTGCTCCCTCTCCTCCCTCCCTGCCTGGTGGTTTGGTAAGTATTTTCTCAGGTAAGTATTCTCTTAGGAAAGTATCTCCACTGAATTTATTCAATGTGACGGTGCCGGTTAGTGGCAGCGAATCATTGCGGATTCTTGCTCCCTCTCCTCCCTCCCTGCCTGGTGGTTTGGTAAGTATTTTCTCAGGTAAGTATTCTCTTAGGTAAGTATCTCCACTGAATTTATTCAATGTGACGGTGCCGGTTAGTGGCTGCTCTTGGGGTGGTTCCTACTTCCAGGGTTACCATGGATACCTCCTCTCTGCTTATTGCATTTGGCCCCCCACTAACCTTTAAGGCACCTGCTCCCAAGCTCATCATTAGCGATGAGTTTAATGCTGATCTATATAATATAGTTTATTATTCACTCAAAATATTTTCCCGATTCTGATTGGCTAAAAGCACTCGTTTAATTCACCATAACCAGTTACTGATGACCAAATTTGGAAGAATTTTGTGTTTAACAAGGAAATGACGTCAAAAATGCAGCGTTTTCGCAGGTTAAGGCACTGTTAACGGAGAAGACCTGGGCACGAGGTTGAGTTGTTTTGATTGTGAACTTGAAAAATGGCGGACATTTCACTCGTTTCAAGTCAGCAACAAGACAACTCCAAGGGTGACATCTGCTATTTGGAGAATATTTGCGGAGTTGGACAAACCTAAACGTGCACTATCGAAGATGAACTTAACATCGATGGATCGATGGAGGTAAGCATACTTTAGCCACGTTTTTAGACTAGGAATTATTATGAATGAATGACAAAACAATTATTGAATTCGGCTTTCGTATCATATAAAGAATTATGGAGATCTCGGAGGGTGTTATCCACCAAAAATCCAATCTAGCCACCCTAATACAATAAAAAATGTTAAAATAATGACTGCATGCCCTCCCCATACAGAAAAAAATGCAAAGATGCTAACAAGAGGGGATCTGTCTATCACTTACAGCTGTAAGAGATCAAATATAGGGAAATGGCTTGACAAATTTCAGCCTGCATGGAAGATACTCCTGCTTGAAGGGTTGAATGTAAATGAATTTAACCCAGCCCCATAGTTTCAACAGCTAACACTTGTTTTTTGCACAATAATATTAGTCTTCCTTCTCACCTCGATCTGGCTGATACTGTTCAACAAATACTGTGTCTGACCTGTGGATGTCTTTAACGCCCCTAAAATAGATTAATTTAAGAAATAACTTAGTAATTTATAATCGGAAATCAATGGTCGGTGATCACTACTCTTAATATGAATCCAATAGCACTAATCCCTGTCACTTTTCACCTTTTTATAGCCAAAGTGACAAGGTTTTCTTTTTCAAACTGAAGATTGAAACAAGTACTGTTAATGACTAATCAATCAAAGTAGGCCTTCTTATAGAGACAATTCCAATGAAAACCTAAAGGTTAGGGGAAACAAATAGTTGTTCAGTGTAGGTTTGAAATAATTACCAAAAAATTGCAATCCAATAATATATTATGGTAGACAAAAACATCGCCAATTTTTAGGTGTATTTTCCGGCTATGCAATTCTACATTTATCTGACTTCAAACAGACTATTCTGGGGAATACGCATTATGCAAAATCACAAACTTCTAACAAGACTACTAAAATTAACAAACAATGAAGGTCTGTGTGGTCTCAAATGCTGTGCATCTTGGATTTGATCTTCCTAAGGACCTACATGTTAACTCCCTGGGGAGCAAAAACCAATAACCATGAACAAGGTTTGCAATTCACCAATCCCTAACAACCATGGTGGTACAAATTATCCTACTCAGTAAATCGACCTTATCGCCTGATGAAGACCTGCAGCATACTCATTAGTACGCTGTTGAAACATGGTAATCAATATCTAAGCGACAATCCCAAGACAAACGATAAACGAAACCCTTATATAAGGTATACTTAGCCAATGGCCTAAGACAAAGACTAAATTGCAGTGTTTTTACCAAACAGCAGAGTGACATGCTGTTAAGCTGTTATAGTCATGCAAAACCACTATGGAATCTTATTAGTTTTTTACTCGTCATACTCACCAGTGAAATGACTTGATTTTTCCCTTTACTGATTTAAAACTTTCACCCGCATCACTTGACCAGTAAAGCTATTAAGCAAAACAAACAGTTAGCACCAGTTGTAGCTTTCATTTACAGCTTAATGAACAAAATAGCCTAACCTACAAACTTCCACTGTTGGTGTACATTTTTGTGCACACAGCTATAAGCTAACACATGTATACCTTGTAGTTAAAATTTTTCTTTGGTTTGAAAATTTCCAAATAGATTGATTTTTTAAATTTTCTCTCTCTCTTTCTCTCAGAATGCCATTGGCATCTGAAACAAAGGATCATCAAACTTTAACTGGTTGGAAAGTTTAAGCCTAACTTAAAGATGAACCACACCAACAAAAATTATATTTACAACTTTAAAAAAAACTTGTCAATGTAAATCCTGACAATCCATATGAAACTCTTTGGAGGACTGTTTAATGCAATTTGTTTTCAGTTTTAGACATTCTCAAAAATACACATGTAGCATCTGGACCTTTTCTTAAATTTTGACCATGCAAAATCAGGAGGGAAGCAGGAATCTCTTCTAACAAAAGTTCTGATGCACTTACTATGTTTCAAGGTAATTATCTCTCGTGCATTCATTCTTGCAGTTACAATGCATGTAGAGCCAGTATGCTCTAAGATGTGAATACTACAAGCAGCATTTTTTTAAATACAGAACAGATCACACTTATAGCAGGTAATGAACCATTCCAAAAGATGGTCAGTCATTTACTAGATGTGGTTGTTTACGAGACTCAGATTCAAAAACACAAAAAAATTGGTTCTATGGGCAGGTGTTTGCACAAGGAGGTTGGACTGTATAAAAAATGACTCACAGTAAAACAGAGATGACATATACAATCTGGTCAGGCATACCTTTTCACTAGAGCTATCATATGCCATGGCATAATTGCGATCCCGGGGATGAAACGTGATAAAAGATGGCACAAATTGCACTTGCTTGCCTGTAAAGTTGGCCAAATCCGTTGAGCGGTAGAGAAACTTGTTCTTTTTGTCTGCAAGAATGCACTGAGAGAAAGAGAAGACGGTATTGAGAAAGGCAATCGTGAAGACTACAATAAACCCCTTCCCTCCGAGACCAATGATGTTCATGGTCAGACTATTTTAACACTCCAATTTTTCAATGAAAACTGTTTGATGAAAATTTTGCATGACAATATTTCTCAGGATTTCATAAAAATACACCATACTCACCATACACATTGTTATGTTAAAGAAGTATTGCAAAACTTGATTCATTTAATAAAAAGTCATCAGTTTTAATTTAAGAGTGCAAACATTGTTTTTTTTCTCCTCTCCAGCTTTCTTCCTCCTCACTCTTTCTTTATCTCCTTTCTCTTTCCTTTGCTAGTGTGATTTTCAAGCTTATCAGGTTCATAAAAACATGCTTATCTCCAGAGGGAATATCAGTGGTCGGAAGACCAGATCATCTTCCCAGCTTAATATACCGCTTTTTAAAACCAAGTCAGGACAGAGATCTTTTTATTACAGAACTGTAACATTGTGGAATGCGTTAAAACCCCATTTTAAATTAAGTGAATCTCTTAAAATTTTCAAACGTAAAATGAAAGCCTTCCTTTTAAATCAATTTTTAATGTCATAAATTTATACGTAAATAGTTTCTTAATAGTTTATTGATAATCAATTTGTGATGTCATAAATTCTATATGCAAATAGTTTCTTAATAATTGTTTATTGACAATTCTTGAGTATTTTTTGGTTTTTTTGATTACCTGTACTATTAATATTTGTCTCTGAAAAGCCCCCATGGGGAGTTGACAATAAAATTTGTATTGTATTGTATTGTATGCCGTTTGGCCCTTTTTCACTCAAATGTATGCCAGTTTTGGTGGTTTCATTCTCAAAAAATCGGCTAGATACAGTGATCCATCTAGAAACAGGCGGCAGTGAGTTTAGGGATTCACACAGCCAAAACCCTGTGAGTCCCTCAGACATAAGTGTGAGTCCCATATTCAGGAGTTTGAGTCCCACACAGTCCTACACCCATCAGTGTATGAGTAGAACTTAAGAGTAACACGTAAATATCAAAAGAGGTTTTATTGTCATATTGTTACTTTCAGTCTCTGACTTACAAACAAAATCATGAATAACTTTATACAGAGAGCAATTTCAAAATTCTATTTCGTAAATTGGAGCTCAAAGATCCACCTGTCCCTCCCTTTGCCCTATTTTACCAGTGCACAATCAAAATTGAATTCAGCTCTTTCAGGACCCAGTTTTACTCTGATTAGCTATGTTGTCAAGCCACGAATCACGAAGAAGTTCCAGTAGCGATTTGAATTTTACCAGCAGGTTGATCTCCATAAATAGCCATTAATGCACTTGAAAAGCACCAGTATGGCTGTAAATTCTGTTTGTTTCACCTTTTCTTCAAGCTTCAGGGCCTTGGAGGGCTATCTTGTGTTCATGGAAACCAACTTGTCAAGAGAGTGTGTGTTTTTTTTAAATTTCGGCACTGGGCTTACTTGCTCACTCTGTTAGATTTCCTAGTCTCTGCACAGACTCGGCAGTACATGTACAGCTGTAATTGCCATTTTTCTCGTAAACCAGCCATGAATACTTTTTCAGCCTTTCTTTCCTTGGATTTAGCCTGGGTTGTAATTGCATCATCTTTTTTCAATTGGAGTTGCTGATTCTTGTCCTTCTTGTTCTAGACATTGCCTCGCAAATGACAGTTGTGTTTGCCCCTCCAGGCACATAACTTTTTTCTTTGGTGGCATTTGAAGAAAAATTTGAATTTTAATACAGTAAAATTAATTCAAATAACTCATGTGCAAGTAACTGGACAAGAGAGAAAGCATGTGCGATGAGTTGAAGAACAAACATCCCACAACTGCTGACCATGAATGAGCCTGAGATGGAGTTCATTATACAATCACACACTACTTACTTAGCTAAATATTGCAAAATTTTTGTAAATAGAGGGGAAAAGATATCAAGCCGTGATTGTAATAGAGAAAGGGATGCATTCAGATGCGGAACGCACAGGTAGATGGATGACTGTAGATATATAAGACACCTGGTGAGCTAATAATTTATTGTAACTTGATAAATAAACTCATAACCAGTTACCACCAGCAAATCCAAAGTTAAGGTGGACAATGAAAAATACGTATTGGTAAACTATAATCATTAATCACTATTACTCATTCACAAGCCTTTGAATACTTAAGACTGTTATTATTAATTTTTTTTTTCAAATAACTTGTAGCAACATATTCATTGTAACTATAAGTACTGAACAACAAATAATTTAAAGTAATGATATGCAGGTCCATTTGCAAATAAACCAAACTGAACATAACCACTTAAGATCAGTTCAAATTACATAAACTAGCACTAGACATACAGTCCATACATATGCAAATAACTGACACCAAGCAAACATCAACAATACATGGGCAACAGAGCCTGACCTGAAGATATTATAGTTAGTCTCTATAAGACACATCCATCATTCTAAGAATTTGTAATTCTATGATTTTTTCTGATCACTATTAATAATCACATAAAGTCAGTACGACTTTTGCTCAGGACTACTGTGGGGAATATAAAATAAATTTGAGAATTTTTTCCTTTCTTACTGTAGTTTGCTTACGAATTAAATGTTCTTGAAATGTTAGAACAGGTGTGAATTAACATTTCAATGTGTCTGGATCATAAACAGAAGTGAGTGAAGGGACCTTATATACATAACAAAGTCAAATCACACTTCTAGTATTGTAAATTTTGTCTAACTATAACTTGTTCAAATAAAAGACAACCCATGACCCATTATAAGAAAAAAGTTTTTTTCTCGGTGAAATAGGTTCTAGTTGTCTCTACAAAAATCTCCACGTGCTCAGAGCTCAAAAACCTGGGGAGACTCCCATATAAAAGTGACAGGGATGCTCATCACACTTAGGGGTGTAAATTGCAGATTTTGGTCTCACTTATTTAGGGTATTTGGGACAGAAAGTCACCATATATATGCCCATTCAGGTATTGCTTATGGCTATACTTAAAGAAGTTTTGAGAAAATGCCATGAAATCTGTTTTAGAATGGTCTCCTTCAGCGCACACATTGGTCTCCCTTAGGGGTTTAATTTTAATTTTCCAACAAGCATCGCCGCCTATCACCCTTATGTGGGAGTCCCTTCTGGCTTTAAAACAAACTCATTCCAGCTTTTCCTTCTCACCCAAGACCATTGCATGCTTGTCTTAGTTAATGACTAGTTAAAAGACGACTGCCTGGACCCTCACCCATCAGTTTACCAGCTAATTCACAGGTATGCCAACGTAAGTAAAAAATATAGTGACAAAAATTATTAAGACAATATAAAAGCTACTGTCTTTACAATTAAAATAAAGTTATCACACATACAATAACTATTAAAAATTATTTACAAAATTGATTAGAGAGATGATTCATCCATACTAAAATAATGACTCATTTTCTAACAAATTTCTGAAGTTTACAGTTTTCTTAAAGTTACTTTCCGAGCAAGAAAACCCACGTGTCCTCAATTACAACCAGACATGAAATTTTTTTTTACCCCTGATGACAAGTGACAATTAAAGGGGTTGGTTTGGAAAAGATAAAAATATTTCTTAAAATAAGAACCCTTTTTCAAATACATTAACTGTGAATAATATGCACCACAATGAAACCTTTTGTATTGAGATCCTACATGTGGATCATTGTCTCTATAAGTCTGGGCCCAGTTGTTCGTAGGCCGATTAGCGCAAACCCAGGGTTAAATTTTAACCCAGGTCTCTTTTTCTTTTCATCAGAAACATTTTCTTAGACAATTTTCTCTATTCTTTTTAGAGTAGCCAATCACCAAATTGTTGACAAAAAGAATTAAACTGAATTTGCTTTATAACCTTTCATATCTGAATTCAAATTTAGAACTCACCCTGGGGTATCTTAACCCAGCTTTGAACAACTCAGCCCTGGTACATAAAGTGCAAATTTTTCTCATCTTCCAGAAATATTTTTGGTCCATTACATATATTTTCACAAGTATGGAAGTTAAAGATTGCAGGTTGAATGGGTCAGTACACATACAGTAGCTCCATTGTTATAAATGCTACAGAAAGTAACAATGGCAATTGTCACAGCCTGTGACTTTCCCTATTTTGGAACACATCCACACACGAAAATTATGTTTTAGTGTATATTTACACTAAAAGTTTAAATAACCTAGAACAGTTCCTGAGGAAACCACTGAGATTTGAGGGAACAAAAATTAACTCATTTAATTATCCGAAGGACCATTCATTAGTCAGGGCTGTCAACAAGTTTTTAAGTAGCAGTCTGATAATGAATAGTAGGCAGCTTTGGAACTTGCACCGAAAGGCACAAGTTTGTTAAGGCGGAGGCATCTGGGTACATTTTGAAATTTAGAGTCTCGGAAATTGCGTTTCCAGAGGTTTTCATACCGTATTTTCCACTGCGCACACCATGTTGTTTCGTCAGAATACACGCAAGACTGGGAACAATGTAATACATAGAGAACACTTCATGGAAAGTGCGTGTGTATGGTATTTACGCATGAGTTGTTGATGTATCAAAAATTGAACAAATGAGCACAGCGAACCAGTGAGACTTCTAATATAAAAAACAACAAGTGCGTAAATATCGCTCAAGGCACTTTCCATGTGGTATTGTTGTTATTATATACATACTGAGGCATTCATCATCTTGCCAGCCTTTTATTTCAGATCTTTCCAGAATCCTAAAATGCCAAAATATGCCTCTACACACCGTGAAATTACAAAGAAAACGAAGTAACTTATGCTTATAATAGTATTAAAAAATGCTTGATAAAAATTAATGAGGGTAAGGATATGAAGTAATCCAGGAATTACAAGTAATATTAACTTTTTTCTGAACATACAAATAAAAATGAACGATTTTGAGTAAAATGACCAGTTTGAATAAAAACAGAAACATATGGCTTGATAAGCTTAGCTCCAATAAAAAGTTCAAGTACAAGCTAATGTCTTGTTCTGTTTTTTCCCCTTTCACTGTTGTTTTGCCGGCTCCCTTCAATTTTCTTCATCGATAATGTGAAATATACAAAACTATTCCAATCCAATTGCTGCGATTTTTCACAATTTTCTTCGAGAAAAACTTTGCTTTAATGGGTCTTTTCTTCTGAATGTCTGCAAAGCAACTCGCAAAGCGAGGGCACTGCAAGCGCCTAAAAACGGCAGAAAATTTTAGTGCGAATTAAACTCACACACCTCTGTGGCTTTTGACTGGACGTATCATTTTTCTCACGTGAAAAAACATTGCTCGTGATTCTGATTGGACATATTGCTTTTTTCACGTGTGAAAAGCATCGTTTGCTCCTCCAATTGGCTAGAACTTATTTGCGTATGAAATTTATGCCATAGCTTTTCAGTGAGTATATCTCAGTATGTATATAAGAAAATTTTATTTGATGGTGTTTATTTTTTGTTAGCAGTTACGGTAGAAGGAGATGAAAGTAGCGGGCTAAGGAAGGCTAACTAGCCAGCGGTTTTGGCCATCTACTGGGTAGTTTCGAAAACGAAGCACTCGAAAACGAAGACCGAAGCACGAAGCACCCAAATCTCGAAAACGAAGCACCCAAAACTCGAAACCACTGTAGGTTGTAGATTTGAACTGCATTCAATTCGTTATCGTGCTTGATTCCTGCTGTATTAGCAACAGACTTTCTAGCCAATTTATAAAGGACAGACTGGTTTCAAGTTTAGGGGTCTTCATTTTCGAGTTTTTGGGGTCTTTGTTTTCGAGTTTTTGGGTGCTTCATTTTCGAGTGCTTCATTTTCGATAGGTGCTTCGTTTTAGAGTTTTGGGTGCTTCGTGCTTGTGTCTTTGTTTTCGAGTGCTTTGTTTTCAAAACTACCCCGTCTACTAGCCCTTATTGACAGCCCCGTTAGTGATTTTTTTTTTCACCCATAACAAAAAGCTTCTACATGTATGTGTGTACTTTTATGATCTAGGTGACCATGAGTCAACATTTTGCAAATTAAAAATTGCACTGTTAGACTTACTCTCTTATATCAAAGATTTTGTGATTTAACCAGCTTAGAGACTTTTGGGATGAAGAGGAATATTGCTTCCTGTCATATGGCCTTAGAATAACCAAAAAGACCATGTGCTGTTGGAGAAACATATTCAGCTCTAAAACAAAAATAACATTTTTTTGCCACAGCAAAAAAAGGACAAAAATTGTAAATTTGGAGCAAATTAATGTGGAAAATATTTCTGTTTCTACAAGATCCTAGGTTCAAGATTTCAATATAGCTAATGATATGGCTTTGTTCTCTTCTAAACATAAACAGTCAGTCACGGGATATGGGTATAATAATAAAGACGATATTCTTATGCAAATGATTGGGGTTTGAACAGACATAAACCAACACGTTTCTCAAAATGCAGCCCGCTTATGTTCTAGGAATAAATCAGCTTTTACTGGAGCCCAAGTTGATTGGATGACGTGCTTTCCATACAACTTTCAAAACTTTTTTAAAATGCTGATGGGACAAAGAACTTCTGATCACTTCCTGCACAACGTATCCGATGTCCTGCTTTACGTTAAAAGATATCAGCGCTCACAGCAAGACGCCACGTTGCATAATAAAAAAAACGAAGATGAAAAATTTATTGTCTGTCGAACTGTGACCGATTGAAAAAAAGCTCATTCGAAAATGCTGATTCAATATTGCGTATGCTGAATATCTCGTCATAAACCTGAGCTTATATTTGACTTTGTACATGAAACTAAATTGCTGTCCACGTATACGCGCCATTTTTACACCCTATAAGCACCTCGAGGTAAACATTAAACTTCCTATCTGTCACGAAAAGAAGACTCATTACAGTTGAATACTGCATATGCATCACGTTCAAAAATGTAGTAAATGCAACAAATATATGTGCATTTATGATTTTACAAATTCATTTACGTACTAACCGAACACGTGTTGTAATCAAAACAACTCACAGACACCAGCTATCAGGATCTATCAGAAACAACAAAACACAATATGTGAAACCTAAATGCAAAGGTCTACTTACAAGCTGTGGATCTGCTTTTGAAGAATAAATCTGATCAATCTGTGGTGGGTTACTCTTGTTGGTTAAACCAAGATCCGTGAAATTCTTTCCGTAGTTTCGAGACACATAAACCTTGCTTTTAGTTTTATCTCTTCCAATTTTAGTGTTTTTTGCTAGTAGAAATATGTTGCTTTCCTTCCCGCGATTACGAGGCCAGTACATATAGAGGGTGTCGAAGTCTTTTGCCAGAATTAGCTGAAAAAGTCAATCAAAGTGTTTGACTAGGTTAGAAGTACATGTGCACCGTTAGCATGGAGTATGTAAGCATTCGAAATCACCCTTACAGAACTGTTATGTAGCGCAATTTAATAAGCAAAAACTATAAGACTCAAACTTACCATGCGTTTATCCGGTTGACTAGGTACTGGGCTGTCACGACGGACCCGACTTCGAAGTTGGCCTCGTAGGTCTTCCACAAGTTCTTCAGGAGTTTCCAAGGTTGGAGCGCCATCTTCCCGCCGAATTATCTCATGTGCTCCCTCGGGAAGGGTGAACGGCGAGGTTCCATGCACGAAAAGATTCTTTGGAACTTTAAAAGGACGATAACTTCTTGCCAACTTCGGAAGCAAGAGTGCGATGATTAGAGTAAAACAAAGCCTTGAACCAGCCGCCATGTTTGTATGCAGGGCAGATACACAACAAAGGCGAGGCTACTGGGATCGAGGCGCTAGAGTAGGCGAAACTTTTCAAGACCTCAAACAATGGAACAATTTATGGCTTGAAAATAGAGACGCGGTTCAACGCATCTCTGGTTTTATGTTATGTTATTCAAGCAAAACTAAAAGGACGCCTCGATTATCCTAAACGCTGAAAAACGGCAGGAAGTTGATATACCAACATACCGTCACGCTCCTATCATTTTGAATTAACTAATCAACATGTGCTTTAATTTATTGAGCTATTAAATTTTCTAATAGTTCATAAATTCTGGCACGCTTGTTTATTCATTAGCCTGTATTTATTTATTTCGAGTCTTCTTTATTTTGTGTATGTGACCTATTTTTTGACGAATTGAAACTCAGAAGCAATTTTCCCATTCAAAATTTTTTGGAATGTTGTTTTTATGCTTAGCTATTTGTTATGTTCTATAAAAAGATTACAGTTTCCTCTTCAGTTTTTAAAAACTTCTCTTCTTGGAAGCGCTGTTTCCGTTTGAGTTCTAAGGAAAGATGTACATCACAGCAAAGCCGGCGCTCAAGCTTTTTCACATTTGGAAAACAGCATCTGTCCAGATGTTTAATCCTCTGTTCTGAATACCCCGTGTTCCACAGTAAGGTCTAGTAAGTATTTTGCTTCGTCCAAATTTGTTTATCCGAAATCGTTTTCCGGAAGACGCCACGAAACTGAAGTGCGCATTGCAAAGAGTTCCGAGTGGCGCAGGCTAAGAGAGATATGAAAACTTCTCTGGTCTCAAATATATGGACCAGAACGTTCTCTAACTGAAAAAAACTGCAAGCCCGGGAGCAGCCATCTCAAAGGGGTCAGTAAAGGATTGTGGGGTTGTGTTGATGAGGTTTTCCTATTAGAACCTCCCCCCCCCCCCCCCCC